CCGGCCTGTGCCCGCCGCCCTCACGGCCGTCCCCACACGCTTTTCTGGGGCTTATTTGCAGAGCAGACACCTACGTGCTGCCCGCAAGGCCGCATGCTGACCGGACCGGGGGGCGTCCATGTCCATGCGCCGGCTCGCGCCCGCTGCTCCCGAGAGCCCTGTCACCAGCGAGGGGCCTTCCCTTGCGGGCGGCCGGTCCCCTCAGCCCTCTGGGGCCGCGCTGGGGTGGATGCCCCTGGGCCTCGCCCGGAGCCGTGGCGCCCGCTGGCTCTGCCCCCAGGGCTGTGCCCAGCCCCCCAGGGGAGTCGCCCTGTGCCTGCCCCCAGGCTGCTGCCCGGGGCTCTCTCCCACGCAAGCCCGCGCTCCCTCCCTCGGCGCAGGATGGAGACAGCCGGTGTCCGCTCGCCTGCTCCTCTGGCCCGTGCACCTCCGCGGGGTGGGCCTGGGGCTCCAGAAAGACCCCCAGGTTGCAGAGTCCCCCCACCCCCTGCTGGGCCCGCGGCCGCCCCCTGCGGGGCCCCATCCCCGCTGGGTCCCCGAGCCAGCGTGGCGTCTCCTGGGCCGGCTGCTCTGCATGGTTGGGGGGTTCAGTCGCTTTAGATGGTCGCTGAGTGCCGGAAACGGAGACGGGGCGCACAGACTTGGAGGGGATCCGCGGGCCCTGGACAGGGCTCGTCAGCGTCGCCGCGGTGACAGGCGTCCTGCCAGCGTGACTGGCCTCCACAGCAGGCCGTGGGTGTCGTGAGAGCCCCGGCCGGCCAGCGCAACCCCACGAGTCGGAGGCCCTCGGGGTCTGAGCTTGGACGGTCACCCGTGTGGGCTGGGCCTCGGACACAAGGGCACCGGGAAGGCCGCGGGGCCGGCGGGGGGCGCGGGTGAGGGCGGCTGTGCCGCGAGAGGCCAGGCACACGCCGGGGTGGGGGGCCCCAGCCGGACAAACCACTGCTGGAGGCGGGGGCCAGGGCCAGCGGACGAGGGGCGGGGGCCAGCGCCCAGTGTCGGCTCCACGCGGCCCCGGCAGGGGCGGCCGCGGCGCTTTAAAGCTCAAACCCAGTTACGCGCCGTCCCAGACCGCTCCCCCAGATTCTGCCTGACCCCGGAGCACGGTCACGGAAGGAGGCACAGGGCAGGCAGGGCGGTCACCCTCTGGGCCGGGCGGCTGCCCAGGAGTGGCCGCACCTTGGTTGGTGGCCGCAGGGTGATGTCACAGGGAAGAGCCGGGACCTGACCTCACCTCCCTCGAGTGCCTGGGCGGTGCCGCGCCCACCCCATCCCGCCCCCGCCCGACCCC